GACCGCAATGCAGTTGAAAAATCCTATTGTACCAGTGTACAAAAATGTCAAGAAATGATACAGGACCCAAAGTGGATGCTACTTTATTCAAACAAGTGGTTGGAAGCCTAATGTACTTGACTACTACACGTCCGGATATAATGTATGGGGTGAGTTTAATTAGCAGATTTATGACCAATCCTACAGAGAATCACTGGCTTGTTGCTAAAAGAATACTAAGATATTTAAAAGGTACTGCTGAATTCGGAATCTACTACAAGAAAGGAGAGAGTACTGCTATAACAGGCTACACAGATAGTGACTTTGCTGGAGATATTGATGATAGAAAAAGTACATCAAGTTTTGTATTTTTTTTAGGGTCTGGACCTGTCTCTTGGTCATCCAAAAAACAACCAGTGGTTACTTTATCTACAACCGAAGCCGAATATATAGCAGCTGCATCTTGTGCTTGCCAAAGTATATGGATTAAGAGAATTTTGGAGACTCTTGGCTTCAAAAATCAAAGTAAAATTCTGGTGTTATGTGATAGTAATTCAGCCATTCAACTGTCCAAAAATCCAGTCTTCCATGGTAGAAGTAAGCATATAGATATAAGATATCATTTCTTAAGGGATCTTGTCAAAGATGGAAGCATTGAACTAAGTCATTGCAACACCCAGAATCAAATTTCCGACGTAATGACCAAGCCCTTAAAGCTAGAGCAATTCCTAAAACTCAGGAGCATGTTAGGCATGATTGAAGCATCTGAAGTAAACTAAATGTTTATTAGACATTTAGTTTAAGGGAGGGAATGTTAGATATTTTGTGTTTTGTTACCTTTTAAATTGCTGTTAATAAAAGGGTCAGTTACGACCAAGTATTTAGGAATGGAGCTATTTTTCAGCTCATTAGTTTTACAGTTACTTCAACCCACGTCTCCTATGTGAAATCAGTGGGTTAGTTTCTATTCTGTTTCGGTTCCTTCCTATAAGTTTGTATTCTCTTCCAGAATTCAGTGAAAACATAGAAAATAGAGAGAAAGAGCATTTTTCAGTTTTATTATCTGTCTTTTGTTCACACATCGAAGCCAAAGAAAGATACCAAGAAGGGTCACAAATTCAAGAAGAAGACTGATCCAGAGTCGAAAGATGAGAATGGGAGTAAAGACAAGGTGTTTGGCAAAAAGCAAGTGAAATGCTATAACTGCCAGAAGTATGGCCACTTCGCACGCGACTGCTGGCATGGTGATGGAGCGAAAAATAAACCCAAGTCTCAGTCCCAAGCAAATCTCGCACAAGAAGAGTCGTCCGATTCTGAAGCTGTCTTACTCATGGTTCAGACCAAGAATGAAGACAATGATGATGACGCATGGTATCTTGATTCCGGGTGTTCTACCCATATGACTGGCCGGAGGGAGTGGTTTGTGAAATTGAGTAATGAGACTCAAGAACGGGTGCAATTTGCAGATGACAGCTGTTTGCATGCAGAAGGGAATGGACGGGTCATGCTAAGAAGCTTCGAAGGAGAAGAAGTTATAGTCGACGACGTCCTGTATGTCCCTGGGTTACGAACCAATTTGCTGAGTCTTGGCCAATTAATGCAGAAAGGGTTCAAGATGGTTCTGGAGGAGAATTCCCTACGGGTCTATGATCAAACAAAGAAGCTTGTCATTTGTGCTGCACTATCATCCAATCGTACGTTTAAGGTAAAAATAACTACGTTAAACCATAAGTGTTTTGCAACTGCAGTAAACAGAGAAGAGTGGTTGTGACACCTACGCTTTGGTCACTTGAACTTCAGAAATTTGAGTGAACTGAGCGTTAAAGGAATGGTTGAAGAGATGCCTCGCGTGTCTGTGCCAGAAGAAGCATGTCATGACTGTGTGCAATGCAAGCAAACGAAGAGCAAGTTCAAGCAAATTCGTTGCCACCAAAACAACGAAGGAGTTAGAACTGGTATATTCCGATCTTTGCGGACCATTGCTCGTGAAAACACCTGGGGCGATCGGTACTTTGTGACCTTCACGGACGACTACACCAGGAAGTTGTGGACGTTTTGCCTAAAGCGAAAAAACGAGGTCTTTAACACATTCAAGAGGTTCAAGACTCTCGCTGAAAAACAGAGTGATTGCATGATAAAGCGACTACGGTCTGATGGAGGAGGTGAGTATAACTCACTGGAGTTTCAAAACTTCCTGGCTGAAATGGGAATCACACACGAGGTTACACCACCTCACACACCGCAACATAACGGAACCGCTGAGAGGAGAAATAGAACTCTCCTCAACATGGCTCGATGTATGCTCAAAAGTAAAAACGTGCCTATGTATATGTGGGGAGAAGCAATTGCAACAGCAACCTATATTCTAAATCGCACACCTACGAAGAGGGTGGAGGGAGTTACACCAGAAGAAGCCTGGTCAAAACAGAAGTCGGATGTCAAGCATCTAAGAGTTTTTTGTTCCCTGTGTTTCCATAAAGTGCCTGAAGTGCAGCAAACCAAATTAAACGACAAAGGAAAGCCTATGGTGATGATTGGTTATCACACTACTGAAGGGTATAAATTGTTTGACCCCGAAACCAAGAGTGTAACTATCAGTAGAAATGTAGTTTTTGATGAAGCCTCTAGTTGGGAGTGGGAGACGAATAAGGTGAATGAGGCAGCAGAGGTGGTCCCAGTTATTGCGCTAGAACCCGAAGATGATGCAGCAGATTCTGGTGAGATTGAACCCGAAGAAGATGTTCAGCAACTTCGAAGATCCCAGCGTCAAGGACAACAACCAACTCGTTTCAGAGATTATGAAATGTTTGGTGTTGTTACTGAAGAAGGAAACCCGGTGCATTTTGCATTGGCAGCAGAGGCGGAGCCCGTGGAGTTTGAGGATGCTGTGCGTGATGAAAAATGGAGAAAAACGATGTGTGAGGAAATAAAGTCCATTGAACGTAATGGAACGTGGAGATTGGTTAATCTACCACCGCATAAAAGGCCCATAGCACTGAAGTGGGTATTCAAGGTTAAAGTCAATCCCAAGGGAGAAGTGATAAGGTATAAAGCCAGGTTAGTGGCTAAAGGATATTTGCAAAAGGCTGGGATTGATTTTGGAGAAATATATGCACCCGTTGCTAGGCTTGATTCAATCCGAGTAATTATCGCTATTGCAACATTAAACAAGTGGAGAATGCATCAGCTAGATGTAAAAGCAGCTTTTCTAAATGGGTTGCTTGAAGAGGAGGTATACGTAACTCAACCGCCAGGATTTGAGGTTAAGGATGATAAACTGAAAGTTTACAAGTTAATCAAAGCTCTTTATGGCTTGAAGCAAGCCCCACGTGCTTGGAACAAAAGAATTGATCAGTTTATGCTGCAGATTGGCTTTGAAAGATGCACCACAGAGCAAGGATTATACGTGAAGTATTGGATCAGCAATGGTCAAGAAGAAAAGTTACTCGTATGCCTCTACGTGGATGACATGCTTGTCACAGGAAGTAAAGCGAAATATATCAAGCAGTTCAAACATCAGATGACCACTAAAATTGAAATGAGTGACTTGGGGGAACTCAATTATTTTTTGGGAATTGAGTTTATGCAGACAGATCATGGAATGTTAATGCACCAGACGAAGTATCCAAAAGACATGTTGAGCAGGTTCAAGCTTCAAGACTGCAACATAGCAGCTACACCGATGGAAATAGGGTTGAAGTTGGGAAAGAATGAAGATGAGGAACCTGTGATGAATCAGAATTCAGGAAAAAGGTTGGGTGCTTGAGGTATTTGTGTTGTACAAGACCTTACCTAAGTTTTGCAGTTGGAATAGTGAGTAGATTCATGCAGGAACCTAAACAAACCCACATGAATGCTGTAAAACGTATCATGCGTTATGTGTAAGGGACAAAGAACCTTGGCTTGCTGTTTCCAAATAAAGGGTGCGAAGGAAGTGTTGAACTAAAGGGATACGCAGATGCTGATTGGTGCGGAGATCAAATTGATAGGAAGTCCACTGCTGGATACATATTTTTCCTCTGTGGGTCACCTGTCTCATGGCATTCCGTGAAAGAACCTGTTGTAGCTCTTTCCTCTTGTGAAGCAGAATACATTTATGCTTCTCAAGCTGCATGGTTAGTAATGCTCTTAGAAGAGTTAAAGGTGAAGATGAATAGCTGTCCAAAATTAATGGTGGACAATAAATTTGCTATAGACTTAGCAAAACATCCTGCTGCTCATGGTAGGAGCAAGCACATTGAAACTAGGTTCCATTTTTTGAGGGAACAAGTCAATCAAGAGAAGCTTGAAATCGTTTACTGTAAATCTGAGGTTCAGTTGACAGATATATTTACCAAAGCCTTAAAAGGGGAGAGGTTTAGGTATCTGAGACAATCTATTGGAGTTGTAAAACCAGTTTGACTTAGGGGGTGTGTTAGAAATAAGTCAAAATTGTTTTTTCTTTCTGTTTCTGTACTGTGTATAAATACGTTTATTCATTTCACATAATATACGTAATTCATATCATTCTTCTGCATGCATGCATAGTTTCTATATTCCATCCCTTTTTATGACGGAAATGCGAATCAGCCCACGATTTAACCCTTATTTAAGATTATTTGACAATACGAGTTATATTTGTGAAAAATATGTATGTTTTACTTTATCAATAACACTATAGTTAAAAAGTAAATAACTTTATAAATGACTAATTTTTTAATGACGAAAGATTAATAATAATGTTAAAGAATAAAAAATTATGAAGATATTTTGAAATTTGATTAAAACAATACAAATCAATCTTATTCATTAAAAATTCACAATATTGGTAATAAGTTTATCCCATTTTAACACATCAAAACTAACAAATTTAATGAGTTCATAATATATGATCAATTTTACATTAATTATATTTAGTCCTTTTTTTTACCCAACATAGAACTCTCAATGTATAAAAAGTTGGGTACTTTAAAACTTTGCTTGATTTTCAATTTGGTGGATCCCTCATTTGGACAATCAAAAATTTACAAAGGAAAATAAAAATGCTAGTGAAAATGCATTATTCAATCCATTGGGACAACAAGACTCGTAAGTGCAACTCTTTTGATTATTTCATACAAGTTATTTAGAAATAAAAATAATTTTTTTATTATAAAAAGATTATTATTATTTTTTAAAATATTATAAAAAAAAATTTTCTTTACACTCTTTAAATATATATAGTTTTTTTCTCTTTTTACTATTTTTAAAATATATAAATTATAATACTTTTTTCTTTAAATTATAAAACTTTTTTTATTTTTTTCTCATCATAAGGATGAATTACCTTTAGTTATAGATAAAATTGAAAATTTATAAAATCCGAGATTTCAATCTGTTCATAACGATAAAGTATTTTAATTAATTCATTTTTTAATTTGATCCTTAATTAAATATGTAACACATATGTAGAATAGTTGGATAAATCTTATGAATAATATATTTTTTTAAAATTATTTAAATATATTTTTTATTATTTTATAGATATTATTCATATATAATATATTTTTTATAATTTTTTTCTCGTCGTTTCTTGTTTTTGTTTTCTTTTATATTTTACATTTTATATTTTTCTATTATTTCTTCTTATTAAACTATTATATTGAATTTAATAAAAATATGTTAAAATAAATATTTTAAAACTAATAATAAAATTTAAAAAATAATAACTAATTATTTAAAATTATGATGATAATAAATAATTTTATTTATTTTGACAGTAAATAATTAATTTAAAATTCTTTTTATTATAATAAATAATTATTTAATTAATAAAAAATATTAAATATTTATAAGTTAAATATATTTTTATTTAATAATTTAATAGATCGATAATTAATTAGATTAGATAATTTATTTATTAAAAAATTATTTTTAAAAATATTTTTTTCTTAATAATTATAAGATATCAATTATATTTAAAATATTTAAAATTTATCATATAATAATTTTAAAATATAATATATTAAATTATAATATTTTTGAATCATTTAAGTATATTTTTTAATAATAATTAAAAATTTATTTTATCAAATTTCAATCTATTATTTTTAATAAAAAAAATAAAGCGTGAAGAAAACAAAAAATGAGAAAAAAATAATAAAAAATAAATGAAGAAAAAAATAAAAAAATATTTAGATAAATTTATTTTTTATAACAAATAAATTAGTATTGAATAAAAAATTAGTAAATTTTTTTAAAAATAATTTAAAAAAAATATTATTTATTAGATTAATTCATATTTAAAATAATCAAATAAAGAAATAAGGTATAACCAAACATACCCTTATTTTTATAACAGTGACTTAATAAATCATGTTTGAAAGGTATCACATTGTGTTCAGTCATGGTCTGTCACACTGTTAATTATTATCTCAGACAATAAACAATTCATACCAATATTAAAAGTTATAACAAAAATAACATATTTATTCTGTTGTTGTTTTTTTAACCAAACGCGTTTACCTTTTAATTTCTCGGTCATATATTTTATATTTACTCTATTTTATTTTTACCAACACATAATCTTATAATTTAGTTTATGTCTAGTTCAATTAAATCTATCAACAAGTGGGTCGTCCTAGGAATGCTCCATTTGATTTCCTTAAATAAAATTTAGATATAATTTCTACAAATGAATAAAACGTTAATAAAAAGATAAACTATAGTCATTGTATAGTTTTGAACATGCTTTTATTAAGAAAGGAAAATTTTGAATGTAAATTTTGCATATTATTGCTAAATTATACCTTATATATGATAAACCTGAGAACACTCTCATGTGTTAAAGTATACATTCATAATTCAAACTGTGAAATTGATTTGTAAGATGAAAAATGTTTTGTACTCGTATGTTTTATTTGAATTATATTATTGATCTATTTTGGAAGCAGAGCACATAAAAAATAAAATAAAAAAGAATAGAGTTAGGGTTAGGGCTAAGTAAGTAAAATAAAGAGATTGTGTGTGTCACGTGAGGTGGAATCTTTTTACGTTGGCTGCAGTCCCATCTTGTCATCGTAATCTAACCAACCAATCCCTGTCTTTTCTACTCGGATCTGATTCCTCTCTCTTTTCTTTATGCGTATAATTTCGCACCATTATCTTCACCCATTTAAGAACCTCATCCTAATATTTTTAACCTTACAAATAATGACTCAATCATATTGAATCATACACCTTCTTTTATTACCAATCTATAATTTTAATATATTTTTATCATTAGAAGAAAGAACCCGATACCACAATATCAATTATGGTGATAATGGTAAGGGAAAGAAATAAAGGATCATATGTTTAATTTGCCAAAAAGCAATTTGAATTAATAGTATAAATTGAAGTTTTTTTTATTTAGAAAAATTAGGAATGATATAATAATATAATTTTCACTTTATTCTTGTTTTATGTAAATTAAGTTGTAATTATTTTTCATATATTATTTATTTTAAAAAATTATTTTATATGATTTTTAAGTTATGATTTTCATATAAAAATATACAAAGAGACTCACATTAATCTATAAGAACAATATAATTAGATTGTGTTTTTTATTATTTTTGTTTTCCAACTTCTATTTTTAAATTTATCGTATTTCTTCTCTCATGCCTTTGTGGGAAAAAAATTTATTAGATCTACTCCCTTTTTATTAATCAAGTAAATTTTTATTTTATTTTAGTATAATTTATAATAACAAGTAAATCTTTATATTTTATTAAATTATATTTTTATAGTTAAATTTTAAAATACTATTTTTTTTAATTATATATAAGTTAATTTATTTTATATTCAATATTTTTACTTTTTTTTATTTATCTTTGACTTTTTTTAATCAATTAGTTTATTATATTTTTTTATTTTTTATTATTTCATATTTCCTTAATTTCTTTAATTAATTTAATATTTATAATTTCTTCAAACAATTTAATAAACATAAAGATTTTTTTATATTTTTTTAAATATTCTAAAGCAATCTTAACCGTATTTAATATTCTATTTTTTATAGATTATCTTAAATAAGTTTTGTTATATAATACTTTATTGATTTTATTGTTTTTTTTCATAAATAAAATTATTTTAATAAAATAATTATATTTTGAAAGATTAAAAATTTGATAATTTAAAATTTGATAATTTTATACTAATTAAATAAAAATTAATTTATATAAATTATATATTTCATAATACAATATTTCATATTTTATTATACTTATATAATCATATATCTTCATATATATATATATATATATATATATATATATTTCTTTTTCATATTGTATTATAATTATATTAACAATTTTATAACGTACTTGACACGGTTTGCGCATATCTTAAATTTAATATTACAAATATTGATTTATTGTTAATTTTTAAAGTAACCTTTATTATGTATAATACATAAGTTGAAATAATAATGTATTTAACATTATTTACATATTTAATTAAAATCTTAAAGATTTTGCTTAAATTATTAATCGTTCCAAATTATTTGATATAGCATTCCCCCTCAAATTACAGAGAATAAATAATTAAATTTACATTTGAAACAAACCTAACTCAAAATTGAGGGTCTTAAATGTATTTAAGTTTTTTTTAATTGTTATTATTAAATAAAGTATCTATTTATCATAATTTCCATTAATTCGTTTATTATTTTATTATTTGTTTATTTACATGTGGTGTTCTTTTTTTAAATATATAGACATTAATTGTTCTGTTTTGTGTTAATACTGTGGCAAATTCCAAAAATCAACATCATTAACAAATTCTAAAAGTTACATCATTCACACAGAATAAAACAATTTTAACCAAAAATGGATAGTGAATGACATAATATTCCCCAAGTTATCCAAAAATTTCAACGTGGAGACCTTTTAAAGTATATTATGCTTAATGAAGAGGTTTGTTAGGACATTTTTCTAAAAATTAAGTCTAAATAATGTAAATAGGGGAATATAGTATAATAAAAATTGCATAGTATTTTTTATAATTACACTTACACCATTTATTTTAAAAAAGGTGCATGTGCAAAGTAAAAATGGGTAAAAATGTAAAATTATTAAAACAAATAAAAATATTTGATGCCTTAATATAATTTAAGAAAATCTATAATTTATTTCAAATGAAGTTAACACTATTTACGATAAAGCGGGTGCAAATGAAACTAGATAGCGAAAAAAGTTACATAAGAACCTTAAATAATGTTACTGTAATTTGTTAGTTTTTTAAAAACTTATCTCTTATACATGGTACAAATTCACAAAATAATAAAAATAAATACACTTTGCCTTCACACATTTTAGAGACAATACATAAAATAGGAAAACTCTATTTAATAAATGTCTTATAAGAAGAAAAACTGGCAACATCATATTAATATAAAAAAAGGGGTTTCAATAAATGTCTTAAATTTAACATTTAAGTTTTATAATAAAACAATTAAAATAAAATGATGTAACGTATTAGAGTCTTAAAATTAAAAATGAATTTTTTATGTAAAATATCTCAAGTAAACAATACATTTTTTTTAAATCATCACGACAGTTTTTACAAGGAAATTTACCAAAAAATATATTTTTTTAAACTTTTATTTATATATATTTTTTAAAATATACAAGAAATTTTGTCTATACACAACCACTCTTATATTAAGGCCTAGCAGGTTATTTATTTATTTTAGTATGGTTTGTATTTTTCTTTGACCATAAAGAATATGCAAGAATATATTTAGGTGCTTACGACTTTTTATTTGAACTGTAGGGTAACATTTTGTTATATTATACTATTGGTTAGATCTTTATGTGATGGTCAAACAAGAATATTAGTTCTTTTTGGCTAGCGATAAAATCAAGAATATTATCGTAACAGAAAGTTAGAACCCAAGTTAATTTATCTAATCAGAAAACGTTGATGAAAACAAAATATCAGTAATGAATGAAGAGAAAAAATATATATAAATAACAAATTGCATAAAACAAATCAATTTCATAGATAATACGCTTTAAAAAATATTATTTACATAAAATATATGATAATTTATCACAATTTATTTATTTATAATTATTTATTGTTCATATCTTTATTTTATTTTATTTTATCTTATATTTTCCTTCTTGTTATATTTTTTAATGCTCTTTCTTCCGTACTTATTTTCTTAATTAGAAATATTAGATTTAAATTTAATAAAAATCTGTTAAAATATTTTTTTATAATTAATATTAAAATTAAAAGAGATATTAATTAATTATTTAAAATTATTAAGCATGTGAATATTTTATATATAATATCAGTAAGTCATTAATTTAAAAATATTAAATATCTATGAATTTAATTATTTTTATTTAATAATTTAATCTAATTATAGTTTTATTAGATTATTCTGATTAATAGAATTAAGTAATTTTTTAAAAATTATTTAACAAACAAGATTTTAAAATAAATTTTTTATTATTTGAATATTATTAATATATTTTTATCAAAATTTAATATAATATTTTTAATTTTAAAAAAATAACACGAAAAGACAAGAATAAAAATGAATGAGTAAATAATAAAAGGAAAGACAATGAATAAGAAAAATAAAATAAAATAATGAATGATAAAAGAGAAAACATAATCTAATTTTTCATTTTGTGTTTTATAATTTTATTTTCCAAAATTTTTATATAAATAAATATAGGTAAAAAAATAATTTGATTGAGATTTTATTTAAATATATTATTTATAAAATTTTATTTTTATAAGAAATTAAAGATATATTTTCGCACATAATAAAAAAAATAAGAAAATGAATTATTCATTATACAGTAATTACGTTACAAATACTTTTAAATAAATTGTTTGAAAATCATTCATGTAGTGCGACATGGGAAATCTTTAACGATCATGTGTTATTTATTTTTTATAATAAAATAAATAATTTTAAAATAATAAATCATATTAAAAATAATTAATAATATTGTAAATATCAAATCAATTATTTTATTGTACATTAAATTTTAATTAATATAATTCATCTCAATTTTCATTTCAAAATTTTGATGTTTATTTTTTATTTTTTTACCTTTTTTATCGTATAATCTAAAAATATATAAAGAAACAAATATAAAAATTTAAAATTTAAAATAAAAAATATCACTAACCAGAAGAAAGTAAATAAAAAAATATTTAAAATCACCAAAATTATGAAATAAGACGTAATTTTCTTTCTAATAACTGTAAAACCATATCATGATCTTACAATTTTATAATCAATATTAATTAAGAAGATAATTTGTTATTTATTGTTTATATTTCTTAACATCACAAAATCATGAGATATTATAATTCTAATTATTATAAACTATTATATAATATTATATATACACTATAATATCATAAGAACAAGAGGTAATATAAAGAAAAGTAATAAAATTATAACTGAATTTTGTTTTATATTTAAAAAGGTTATTATATTTTATTATAAAAAACATTAAAAAAAATGTGTTGAAATTCATTTTATTCCATTTCAAATTTTTTCATTTAATATATCTAAATATCTGATTTTATATTATTCTATAAATTTTCTAAACAGATTTCGTTATTATTTGAGCACGATCTTATCTTTCCAGGGTTAAACAAAATAAAATAACTAATAAAAAGGAAACTTTATGCGCAAGATAGAATCCCGAAAAAGAAGCGAAGAGGATATTATAGTAAAAAGACCACCAATCACTGGAACAATGATGAAATGTCCCGGAAACTAAGTAAGGGCAAGACCGTCTTTTCGTATTTATCACACTAGTCACGGACGGCCCTAAAAAATGCTAACAAACCCTCCCTCACATACACCGCCACCCTATATAAATTCACATCAACCCCCTCCATTCAACCACACGCAACTCTCTCTCATTACGTTTCGCTCAACGCCTCTTCCTATCTCTCACAAATCCCCGCTCCTTTTGATTTCTAGGGTTTTCTCAGAACCGTCTTTCGGCGTTCACTCCTAATATGTAAGTGTTATGCTTCTCTTCTCTTTATCCTTCTCTTCCACCTTTGATTTGTTCACGCCTCACAGTTCGGTTGATTTCTCTAATTTTGTTAACGCTCTCTGACTGTTTCTTGAAATTTCAGATTCTCTGGGTTTCTATTTTACTGATTGAAGATCCTTTACACCACAACTCGTTCCGGCATTTTAATTGATTGATCAAAACAAGTACCATTTCTTCCTTTTTATCTGTAGTTAAGGTCTTTTTCTGTAATAATTTATGTGTGGTATCTAGATCCGGTTCGATTTTATGTGTTTATTTTTTATTTACCTTGTCTCTCTCTATTGTTTTTATCGATTTACTTGCCTCATTTTTAATTCTTCGTTTACATTATTTTGATGTTCTTTGCTTCTCTATCAGTTTTTTTATATAATATTATTAAAAATTAATTTTGATATTTAAAAAAAAATTCTCTTATATAAAGTGTTTACTTAGTTTATTTTTGGATGATTATATTTTGCTTTTGTGGAATGAGATTCCGATACTCGCTGTTGGGGGCGCAGTCAAACTTTTATGGGTCTTGTACTTGATGTTTTTGCTTTTCATTTGTCTTCTCGATGTCTAATTATTTAACTGGGACCTGTAATCGATCATCGGTGGTGATTATGTCCCCTCTTTTTTGTTTCTTCTTTTTTACACTCTCGTTTTTAATTTCGTTTTTCTGAATAGCTTTTCTTTTTGCAGCACGCTAAAAATCTTCATTCTCCATGTTTTCTAGGATTTTGAATTTATCAAGGTTGCAGCCCCCTTTTTTTGTTAGATTTTTATAAAACTATTATATACTATTATTTTTATTATGTTTTGTTAAAGTTTTGAAGTAAATAATTTTAATTATAAATTATAAATAATTTGTTTTAATTAATTTATCATTCCACTGCTTGAATTTCACGAGCATTGGAAAGCATTTGTTATTAATTAATTTTTAACGGATTAGAAGATTAAGTTAACCGTCCACGATTTTTGAGGTAAACTAATTTTTATTGTTGTACATACACATACACATAAACATGAAACTGTATATTATTCCCAGTGATAAGTTTCTGGATTCGGTTTAATATTTTTGGAACTGCTTGTGTGGTTGTTGTTTGTTTGATTCAGGGCTGAATGAACTAATGGAGTCTAAAGGTGGTAAAAAGAAGTCTAGTAGTAGTAGTAGTAAATCATTGTTTTACGAAGCTCCCCTCGGCTACAGCATTGAAGACATTCGACCAAACGGTGGCATCAAGAAGTTCAGATCTGCTGCTTACTCCAACGTTAGTTTTCGTTTCTTACTCATAATTATTTTGTTATTGTATTCGTTTATGCAGAATATTCTTCTATATGCTTAGTTTAAAATCTGTTTATCCAAAGTAATGACTGTTTTTCTTTATTCTTTTGCAGTGCGCTCGCAAGCCATCCTGATACCCCTTGGGATTGATAGTTCATTGCATGCAAGCAGTTTTTTATTAGTTTTTTTGTGTGCTTTCGTTTAGGTTTTTTACTACTCTCCTTCAATCTCCATCTTTCCAATTCCTCTCTTTGCGGTAGTCTGTGCCGTTTCCTACTCGTACGGTTCTCTCCTGAAACACGACCATGGCAGTTTCTGCAATTGGTTTTGAAGGTTATGAGAAGAGGTTGGAAATATCCTTTTTCCAACCAGGATTGTTTGCTGACCCTGAAGGAAGGGGTTTAAGAGCTCTTACGAAATCCCAGCTGGATGAGATTCTAACACCAGCTGCTTGCACCATTGTATCTTCTCTCTCAAATGATGATGTCGACTCTTATGTTCTGTCGGAGTCCAGCCTATTTGTTTATGCCTACAAGATCATCATCAAAACCTGTGGGACTACAAAGTTACTTCTTGCAATCCCACCTATACTGAAGTTCGCAGAAATGCTCTCTCTTAAAGTTAGATCTGTAACTTACACCAGGGGTAGTTTCATCTTTCCTGGCGCTCAGCCATACCCCCATCGCAACTTCACTGAGGAAGTAAATATTCTTGATGACTATTTTGGGAAGCTTGGATCAGGCAGCATGGCTTATATTATGGGTAGCCCAATCAAAGAACAGAAATGGCATATCTACTCTGCATCTGCTGATTCCGCGATCTCATCCGATAACATTGTTTACACTCTAGAGATGTGTATGACGGGACTTGATAGGGACAAAGCTCAAATTTTCTACAAAGAACAATCTGCCTCGGCTGCCATAATGACTGTTAATTCTGGCATTAGAAGTATTCTTCCAGAATCTGAGATATGCGACTTCGACTTTGAGCCATGTGGTTATTCCATGAATTCTATTGAAGGGGGTGCTGTTTCTACCATTCATATTACTCCAGAAGATGGATTCAGTTATTCAAGCTTTGAGACTGTGGGGTACGACTTTAAAGTAGTGAATTTGAACGAGTTGGTTGAGAGGGTATTGCAATGTTTCCTTCCCAAAGAATTTTCTGTAGCCGTTCATGTGGATGGTGCAAACAAGTTATTTGAGCAGACGTGTTTTGTTGATGTGAAGGGTTACTGTCGTGAAGAGTGGAGCCACGAAGGGCTTGGAATGGGTGGTTCTGTTATCTACCAAAAATTCGTTAAGACTAGTGACTGTGGTTCACCTAGATCAACTCTCAAGTGTTGGAAAGATGAAGATGAAGAAGAGTAGTTTAAGTGTGCTTATGATCCGTTGTCTCTAATAAGTCTGGTTTTCCAGACACGTTACTGTTTTTTTCCTTTAGTCGTATTTTCTGTTTAGTTTTATGGCTTTTGTTTCTAATGTGTTGTGTTTGGACAAGTATTGTTCTATCTCCATTTCAATGAAGTAATAAAGTATTTGCTTTCCAGTGTAAAATATTTGAAATCTGATAATTAATTAAGGCATGACCTGTCTCATGGGTACTGAAAGCATATCCAACGTTGTTCCTTTGCATTTGAGCTATTATTTTTTTATTAATATTTTTTTAAGTTTAGTTAATTCAATAAATTTTTTAGATATTTAAATAATTTAGTTAAAACAAGACTATATTTCGACTGTGTAAAACATTAAGCTGTAATTGCTAATAGGGTTTAGGGTTTTCGACTGTGTAAAACATTAAGCTGTAATTGCTAATAGGGTTAAAATAGGATTTAACATTATCCACGTAAATGCTGGCATAAATTTTCGCAATTACATACTGTGCCTTACTCTTAGAACCATTTAAAAATGAACTTTAAAATTTGAAAAAAATGAAGATAACAAATAAAAATGAGTTCCACAATGATTTCTACCCACAAAAAAGTAGTCAGACTAATTTATGAAATAGTTCATTCCAAAAAAGAAATATTTTTTCATAACCCTTGAATATGACAATTATAATTATTTCTGCTATTTATTTTCAATTTTTTTTTCATGTTTCTCTAATTTTAAAAAATGTGTCAGACGCAGTCGTATCATGTTTTAATGCATTTTAATCTTTGATTGTGTTTGCGTCCACACTTTTTTTTGTTTATTTTCCTGCTTAAACTTGCAAAACTAATTCATTATGTAAATAAAATAAAATAAAACTAACAATTAACTTCATTTATTTAAAATAAATTTTATTATAAAAAATCATAATTATAAGACTTAGTTTTAGAATTTCAAGGCGAGAGTAAGTTTGCTTATTTCTCTTACTAAGATGCTTTTTAATTTTTATTACATTTTCTCCATCTTAAATGAGTTTCACATTATTCTTGAACTTATTTTAGAATTCCAAATCAAGATTAGATTAGCTTATGTGATAATAAACTTAGATTTAGTTGATTCATTTGATTCCCTTTCATTAATACATTGAATAAAATGGATTGTAAAGGAAATGTTGGTCAATGAAGGATCTATCTTCCAAGCCCATACCTGCAATTCTATCATTATCCCATCAAAGTTTTCATATTTTTATTCAAATGCCAACTCTCTTCCTTTTTCCTAGAGGGTGTCAAAATTGTCACCTAGCTCATTCAGATTAAATTAAAGATAAATCGGATAAACTCACTTCACTCTCAGTTAAAAAATTTATAACCCTACTAGAATGAATAATATATTAATACTGATAAATATGATATGATAAAAAACACAATTTATACTAGTATTGTATAAAAAATGATAGTAATGATAAAAAATGAAATAAAACAAAATATATTGAAATAAAAAATTAAATCAATCTAATATAGTATAGAGATAAATAAAGATTTTAAACTAATATTTTCTAAATTCTAAACTAAAATAAATTCTTATACACTCACTCGTAGTACACTATAAAATATGACTAGAAATAATAATTAGAAATGCAGAGATATGAAAAAAAAAAAACATTTTGAAAGCAACGAGGGCGAAATTGATGATAATGTGAACCATGTCCCTACGTTCACAAGAGATAATTTTGATAATGATTCAAGTCAACAAGACTCAAGCAAACTCAAGATATGATTTTGATGAATATTTAATTCAAACATCAAGTAAGTCCAAGATAATTCATGATGACTAAATAAAGTCTTAGAATACTGAATATGGAGGTACAAGTTGATGAAGTGATATTATGCATAAACCTCCAAGATACAAGTGTGATAAAATTTCATAATATGATATTTTTCACTATCATAATCGATTATGTGAGGGTCATAATAGATTATATCAGCAAATAAACATAACATGACATATTTCACTGTCATAATCAATTATGTGAGGGTCATAATCAATTATATTAACAAATAAACTTAATATGACATTTTTCACTAATTTAATTGATTATATAAGTGTCATAATTGATTACATAAGTGTTATAATTGATTATGTGAGGTTCATAATTGATTATGTCATCAAATGAAGCATGTTTTCAAAAATCTTCTGTCATAATCGACATATAAGTGTAATAATTGATTATGTAAGTGTAATAATCGATTATGATGCATCGAAATAAAAAATCGATTTTCTCTCTTATAATTGATTATACTTGATAATATCGATTATGACGAGTTAAAATTTGAAAAATATATCCATTTTCAAAGAATAAAGGTTTTTGAATACATCCCGATTTTTCTCTACAAAATTATTAATGATCAACGATTATTTACGGTGTTACTTTTCTATTTAAATGAGTTTTGATGAAAAATAAAAAAAATACACAATTACAAAATTCAAAAATATAATTTACATTAAATCAATTTTAAGAAAAGAATGAGTAAGACAACAAAACACTTTTAGGTTTTCTGAGAAAACTTTTTCATATTGTCTTCTGTACTTTCATTAGTAATCACACTGTGTTCTTGGAGTTATCATTCTACAGGCTTTTACAATTTATCTCCATTACCAGATGTGTTTGTTCTTATTTTCTTTACCTACAAATTAAGGGTTTTCTTTTGGGCACTGTTTTTTGATAAATATGTTTCTCTGTTTATCCTTTGATTTGTTCAAAGAAGGTGTTCATCCTTTTGATTTATTCAGGGAGGTGTTCATCTTTAGTGAGATTCTAAGGAGGTCTTGTCATCCATTTGATTTGTTTAAGAAAGTGTTTTCATCATTTGATTTGTTTAGAGGAGGTGTTCATCCTTAATATGATTCTAGGGAGGTATTCATCATTTGTGGGTTGATTGCAAATGAGGTATTTTTCATCCTTTAATTGTTTAGAGGAGATGTTAATCCCTAGTGAGATTTTAAGGAGATGTTCATCTTTAGTGAGATTCTAAAGTGGTGATTGTCTTTTTAATTAGTTTACTCTTTATTGTTTGCTCTGCTGAATTGGTAATTGGAGTCACTCTTGTGATAGAGGTGACTGAGAATTGGACGTAAATTAACTATACTCAAACCAATATAAATTACTATATGCTTTCTCTCTTCCTTTAATCACTCTTCTTTTCTCTATATCTTCCTCATTATATATATTATCGTTTCCGTTTTATCTGATAATTAAAATTAAATTAACAAATTATTGAATATCTTAAATAATTTTTTAATTTAACATCTATTTTTAGTTATACATTTATTCAGCCCTCTAGATGTCATAATAGGAGCAATGATCATAAACAAGAGAAATTTCATGGTAAGGAAACAGGCAAAAACTCTTGCTAAACTTTTTCAATCCACACTTTTATAAAAGCTTTAGACAAAATATAAGACTGTTAGGACTGCATAAGAAATAATGAGAAAATGAAAAATTATTCAAACAAATCTCCATTTTTTAGCTCAGTGGATATGAATTGAGGAATTGGAATAAGCTGATATGTATCGTAACCAAAGGAATTCATCAAAAATATGAATTATTGATATTAGAGAAATAATGTACAGTTGATAAAAGAAAGGAGACTGGCTTATATTAATAACAACCAAAAGTATATGAATCATTGATGATAAAAAGTTGGTGGATTGATCATCAATGAAAGGATAATAGTGAGCTCTGTTTTACAAGAAAATGTAATTGAGCAAGTAAAATAGCAGTATATCTAAAACTTCTCATAGAAAGCCTCTATCTGAAACTTCTCAAACAATGCCAGAGTTGAATACATGTAAATCCAGTAAGGTATTGTAATGTCCCGTCTCAATTTCCTCATCTTTTAATTGATGAAGAACAAGGGTCTCAATAACAAGGTCTTCCCAATCAACATCGTCAACTACCATTCCTTTTCTCTTCCCTCTTTCAGGACAAGAGCTATGTGAAGGTCCAGGAATCTCAGCACCCAAAGGGATGCATAATTCGCTTTATCCTTAGCTTAGCAGCATTGATTCTGTCCTGCCTCATTTTACATTTCAATTGACCATTGACAAATGATGGCAGCATGGTCTCCACTCCAATATCCTTCTCCAGAAGATGTTTAAGCAGAAGCTTTTTGCTCAGTTCAGATTTTCCATCCCACCACTCCGTACACTGTTGCAGATCAAATCCAAAACTTCTTCTTTTCAGAGCATTCCCACTCCCTCTCAAAGGCTCGGCACAACGATTTTCATCTAAAAACTTCTTATACAGCACAGACAAGCATTCAGGCGAAACCTGCAGCCTGTCAGCATCCCCAACACCCAATCTATTAGCCTTACTCTCCGACGAAAAATACTGCAAATCCTTCCGCGAAGTCACGCCATCAACCCCATATTCTAATTCATCATCATGTCTCAAGCATTTAGCAACCACATCCTCCAAGTCCACTGCAGCCCGATGAAGATCCTTCCTCTTCTCCTGAATCACCCCAGGCTTCAACATAGCCTTCCTCTCCAAATACTGAATCACAAAAGGCGCATTCTTAACAATGTTCTTAACAGTAACATCCTTCCCCCAAGGCAGCACCTACGCAACTTTCACAAGTGTCTCAAGCAACTCCTTATACCTAGTCCTACAAGTTGAAACCTTAGCATGAACCTCCCTAGCCAATTCCTCCATCTCCACCGCAATCCCATTCAGCTCCGCCACAAACACCACCACCGCCACCACCAACGGAAGCGGCCGGCGACCAGTGCTCAAAACCACTTCACCGCACACTGAATCAAAAACACCTCCTGCTTCCGAATCCTATCAAGAGAGGCAAAAATTGTCGAATTCTTAATTGTCCATTCCAACGAATGCACAATGTCAAACTCTGGAAAATCAGACCTCGGATTCAAAAACGACACTCCTACCGATTTCATACAAGTCGCACCCCACCGCTGAGGCGACTTCCGCCATCGGCAAGGGTTGATCCTCCCTCCGCATGACAACATACGCGCACGCACCGATGAGCACGCGGAACCACTCGCCTTGGCCGAACTCGCCCTCGGTGATAGTGGACGCCATGCTCCTAACGTCGACGCTCTTGGAAGATAACCCTAGGGTGTAAGTTACTTCCTCGATGGTGGTTTGCGCGGCGAAAAGTTTCCTCTCTTTGAATGAATAAAGGCTGCCCGAACCTGCGGTGCCGACACGGATGAAGGTTCCCTGAGGACCGTCGATGGCGCCGATTTGGGCGTCGAATTGGTCGAACTGCTGAATGCCGCCGCATGAGGAACATATTAACTCGCCAGAGACATCGTCACCGATGAACGATGTTTTGTTGCAGTAGCTGCACGGAGAAGACATCACGTCGACGCATGTTCAAGAATCTACCGAAATAATTAATTACTTTAGGTTTTATAAATAATACCATTCCAATTTACAGTAAATATTGATGTATTGATTATAAATTTATAACACAAACAAAGTGTGGCTGTAGTTTAGTGGTAAGAATTCCACGTTGTGGCCGTGGAGACCTGGGCTCGAATCCCAGCAGCCACATTTTGTTTGTGTTTTTGCCATTACAATAAAATATAGGTTAATCATATAGGCTTCACATATTTTCAATTTCTCATGTGCAAACCCTTCAATAAAATAATCCGACAAAAGCCCGAATTATTAGAGCTTTTTAAGTATGACAAAAAACCCTGTAATAAAAGGTCGTACCCAGATATTATTAGTTATAACTTTTAGTTTAATCTTAAATACTCAAACTAACAATTAATATTTAAACACTCAATTCAACAAGGATATTTTGATAACATATTTTTTAGATCAATAGTAAAATGTGAAGTAGTAACTATTAAAAAATATAACTTAATTACATTAGAGGATTTAAATTTCATTTGGTCTTAAATTTTGTGATAGTTATTAGATGCATGTGGAGATGTTATTTTGAGTTCTAAATATTGAGTTTCCAAATTTTATGAGTTTTAGACATGGATGACTCCGATCTATTATGTTTATTTTTCTCTGTTAAATAATTTTGTAAAAATCATTGAAAATAGAAAATGAATTCCGCAATCAATAATTAGTAACTCTCCTTAAAAATATACTCTTATGTTCACTGTGACATATCCGATGAAATAAGAAGTTTTATGCTTAGTGTTTTCCCGTTTAAAGATTGAAATTTTTAATAAGCATACAATACACAGTGAAATTTTCCTTTAAAAATATAGTATACAAGAATATATGGTCAGTTTCTCAATTTAAAACTATTAACAAATTTCTAATAGATTGTGCGTGTGTGGGGTTTGACAAAAGAAAGACAATAACAGAGTCTCACTTTATGGGTGGTATAAAAAATTGATTGGGGTGTCAATATCTTGTAACCACTGCTAATGGAAAAGGTATAAAAAGTTGGGGTAACGTGTTTAGTATCCAAAGCTTTAAAAAAGGGTACTACCTCTCTATGTTGAGAATATATTCTACCTTTAACACTTGATTGGTTGGTTGGTTCACATGAGTTGAAACCTAACCAAAAAAATTATGCACTATCTTTGGTGTCATACACAATTTGTGCTATGGAGCCAATGAAATTAAAGATTATTATAATTTTTAGTGGGTTCTTTCTTTGTAGTTTCTAGACAACTTTTTTGGGTAATATTCTGAGGATCAACATCGAACTTGGAAGATTTCTTTCACTCAAGCCACACATTTCCTTCACCAATCAATTCATCTTCTACTTGAGATGCCTAAATATTTTATACAAAAAGAATACTATTCCCTTATGAGCATAGTTGCTTACTTGATAAAGTTAATTTTCACACTACACACACTGTTGTGTACACGTTTAAATAATCTGTTTTTAGACGGTTTGTAGATTTCAAGGGTGGTGGAGACTAGGTACATTATGAGATATCCTGACCGACATATGTATGAATTTAGTACAAGATTTGTTGTTTGTAGGGAAGAAGTTGATGGGTAAAATGCAGTGAGTGGGTGAGAAATGGATGCAGCAAGGGGGACATGCTGGTGGAACAGGGTGTCAATTGTGAACATTTTTGGAAGCTTTATAATTGTCGTCTTTTTCTAAAGAACATGGGCAAAGCCATCATAATGATGTGGTGTATTAGTACATTTTGCCATCATACACCCTCCTCCCCCTCCATTGAAACATTCCTACTGAGTTAAAACAACAATCATTTCCCACTCATTTGGGCTAACTCAATGTTCAATCTACTCATTATGCTCATAGTCAACTTCTCTCTTTAATCCATTGCTTTGACTCTCTTTTTTGGGCTTCTTGCAACTTTCTATTAACTTGGACGAGTTTTGTTCATCAAGAGGAAGAGCAAAGGTTTTAAGGTTTTCTTCAACTTGGAAATTTTGGCAATTAGCCAAGTATGTGTAGACACAAGACAGGAAAAGACTCCTATCGTTTTCAAGAAATCATATAATACGGCATGACATGGATTGAACGAATATGGTCGTATTTCTAGAATGCCCACCACACAAAATGAAAATGGTGAATGGTGTTGTTTTTGTTTAGATGTATAATGTCACCATTTCTGAATAAGTTAGTGTAACTTTAGCTTGAAAAAGAATAATGTAGATCTAAAAAATTTAGTATAAAAATAAGAAAGTGATATATTAAAAAAACTGTATCTACCTAAGAGAATAGAAACCAAACACAAGTGTTTCACTTATTTTAACAAATATTTCAATATATTAAAAAATAAAAGAATTTTATATCTCTTTTATTAACATGATTCACTATAAGAAAATTATTAATTATCAACGAGATATTTATCGATAAATATATAATCATCGAGAAAATGAATGATTACCGATGGATGTAAAAAATTTATGAAATTTGATTTTGTTAGAAAAGAAGGTTGAGATCAAGAGAGGGGTGAATTAATCTTTGAAAGATTTTCGCAATTTACAGATTATCTATTTCAAAGATTAAGAGTTCTGACCAATTCTTGAATCAAACAAAACAAGCAATTGAAATAAAGGCACAACAAAATTAAAGAGAGTAAGGTTTAGAGAAATACAACCAAGATTTATACAGAGTTCACTCAATCCTGAGGCTACGTCCAGTTCTCAGCCAAATTCCAGCTGAGTTTCACTAGATTGAATGTTTTACAGATTACAGATTCCAATCACACACCCAATCTACCACAAGAACCAAAATTTCAGTCCTTGCACCTAAACCTTCACCAAGAACCAACTTCCATTTCTTAAACCAACCTGCAGCCAAATTTCAGCTACAGAACCAATGCCCAACAACTCCAGACACCCAACATACAATAAAGAAATGTAAAGAAACAAAGAGAAGAAACTAGAACAATCAAACTCGGATTATGCAGCTCTGCAAAATGAGTTTCTTCACAAAAGGAATGCAAAAATTGCCTCAAGAAAGAACTTTGAAAAACTCCACAAAACTTGCGTGATTCTTTCTTGAAAGTAACTCTTATGATTGCTTGATTGATTGCACAAAAGTATATTTTAAAATACTCAAGCAATCTAGTTTATATAGAGATTTGTTCTAACTGCTAGTTTAATTAATATGTTAAAACAATCTTTTAATCTGTTAAAAGTCTTGAATTAATCTATTAAAAATTCTTTTAATCTGTTAAAATGTTCTTGATCAATTTCCAGATTTGATTTAACTGATGCGACATCGTTTCAATCGATTAAAACACTTTGTAAAAAATCCTTTAAGTTGTTTTAATCGATTAATTCGCAATTTAATCGATTAAAATTTTGTCAAATATTTTCATAAAACTTTATAAGTGATTTTAATTGATAACAACCAGTTTTAATCGATTAAAACAGTTAGCAGAAATTCTCTTAAGTTGTTTTAATCGATTAAATCGCAGTTTAATCGATTAAAATTATTCTGATCGATCAAAAACTCATTCTGATCGATCATATGTCTGGATTACATCGATTAAAAAATACTTCAAGTGGTTTTAATCTATTATTTCGAAGTTATATCGATTAAAATATCGTCGAACACTTCCAGAACATTTTAACTGATTTTAATCGATTATTTTGAAACTATATTAGTTAAAACACTCGCGTAAGGTTTTCAAAAACTCATTTAATGAAAACAATCGATTAATTCGAAGATATATCGATTAAAACAGTTCCAGTGAATGTTTTAAAAAGGTTTTAATAAAATATTTCGAAAATCTACCAATTAAAAACCTATTATGTAAGTGTTAAGAACATTTTAACTGATAAAGCTAATATAATATCAGTTAAAACAATTTCTTAAAAAAACATTTAACCGATTACTTTGGTTTTTAACAGATTAAACATTTTTAGAGGCATTTTAAAAAAAAATTTAAATGATGAAACCTCATGCAGCAGAGAGATATGAATTATTTAACCTATGTATAGATGCAAACTCACTAATCACTTCTACCCTTTTAACCAAGTAACATTTGACTTCACCAGAATAGCCTTTGACTTCATTTGACTTTATCAAATCAACAAGATCTTCGTTTTATCAAATGATTCAATAAGATCTTCATCACTTTTAGATTTTACCGACAAATATATTCATCGGTAAATGAACAATTAATTATCGACTGATATATCTGTTGGTAAATTAACAATTAGTTACCAACAAATATGTAGCCGTCAGAAAATAAGTGATTACCAAGAGACATTATCGACGAATTTAAAGTATTTTTGGAATTTGGTTTTACCAACACACACACACACACACACACACACACATATATATATATATATATATATATGTCGATAAATTAACAATTAATTACACCAGTCTTAAGCCTGCATGACCAGCGTGCCACAACCACCTTCAACCAACACGTCCCCACTAGTGCCTATTGTGAGCCCTAACCAACCACCGCGAACCATCACTGCCAGTTGTGCCCCAATTTGATTTGCGACCCCCTCATTGGAACTAGGCATTACCTCATTGGTCCTCCGCCACCACGCCAACCACCGTGCACCTTCGAACCACCATCCAACACCACTCCCATTCCTTTCTTGATCCCATTCACTTCTCCTCTACCACTTATCCTCAACCCTAGATTTGCGCACCACAACCACCTCCAGTCATCATTGGCAGCCAACACGTCTCCAGTAATGGCTATTGTGAGCCCCAACCAACCACCGCGAACCACCACTGCCAGTTGCGCCCCAATTTGATTTGCGACCCCCCCCAATGGAACCAATCATTATCTCACCGGTCCTCTGCCACCACGCCAACCACCACGCACCTTTGAACAACCATCTGTGAGTCATTTAGGTGATGTTTTCTCAATTTTATCCTGGCTCAGACCTGTTTGTATTAATTTGGAAGATATGTCCCTCTGTTTGGTTTGAATAGTTGTTTTCAAGTGTGGGTTGTCATGATTTTTGTCATTCTATTCGGTGTTTGCAGAATGGCTGAGTGGGAACACTTGCTTTTATTTGACATCTGGTTCTTCCTTTGTTTGCATGGTTTTCGTTGCAGGTTTTGTACCTTTGTTGAATTATTGGCAAGTGTACCAAAATTATCAATCGCAGTATAGTATTTCGATAAAATAAAAGTCGATCCCATGAGGAACAGTTTCAATGAAAATTCCCAATTATGCTTACTAAGTATATTAAATAGATTGAGTTTTGCAAATAAGAGTTGAGTTGAATTTAAATGACAAAGAACTGTAAATTGTTGAGAAAATATCAATTAAAGGTACTTAGGATTGACTTCCTTCCTTATCCCTCTTTTGTAATGGATAAATCAATTAAGAACGTCAATTAACCTAACAATGTTGATGCCACCTACTCAAATCATCCATGTTGATTCCTCACACATGAAATTCATAAGAAAACCTAATAAATGTTGATTCCTCACACAATTAAGAGATTTTCCAGCATTAGGGTTAGGGTGTTTAAGCACTTGATACATTCATTCCATTTCTGGCAATTAACGTAACAAATATTCTTACCGTGATCTAGAGTTCAAGATATATTTTCCAATCATACCTCAAAAAATCAAGAATAAATCATTCCAAAGCATAAAGGATAAGAATAACAACATCAAAGCATAGATTAATATATCAAAATATCACCATGATACAAAAGAGTTCAAAGGAAGTGCACCGAATCCTAAGAGAATGAAGTTAGTCACTCATGTTGGCCATTACAATGCTCCAATTGATGAAGAAGTGAAGAATTGATGAAGATTGGACAAAACCCTAATAGTAGTCATGCCTCCTCTCCTTCAAGACGACTTCCTTTTCTCAAAACACAACTTATCTTTTTATAAGAGAATTTGGGCCGGGCCTCGCATCATTTATTCGCTTAAGCGCTCTTCTTTCTTTCAATTTTACTCCAATTATGCTGACAATTATGCTCCTTACTCTTGTATCAAGGTATTCTCGAATTCATCCTATTTTGGGAGAAAAATATAGTAGAATTAACATAAGTTAAGTGATTTCATAACAATTCAAGGCATAATTATATCAACTTTTTACCACTTAACAACCTTCGTTTGCTTGGTTATGGCTTTTAATTTTTTATTGTTTTGATTTTCTCCAACTCGTGAATTTCTTTATTTATGCCAAAAATTTGAGGAATGCGCTTAGATAAATGAATTGGAATGACTCTGTAGTTTGTGTGTTTTTCGTGATTTGAGATGCTTGGTGTTTGATGTCAATACTGAAACTGTAGATCAAGTAACTTAGCCAATGAATGGAATGAGAGTGTGATCTAGTTTTTGTATGTGTGGAATTGATTGAGGGTTGGAGGGGGGAATTTATTGTTGTTTTTGTTTGAAAACATTCAATATAAAGTCATAATTGAAATGTAGTTGTTGATGATGTTTATCTAATTTTAGATTTAGTAATATTTGAATTTCAGTGACAGAGTGTTGGCTGAACATGATGTGCTTTGATTGCTACTTGTGATTTTAGCTTCATGTGATGGAGACTTTTGTTGGAGTCATTGGATCACTTGTTATTTGTTATTTATGAATGTGACTTAGTATAGGATGGTCTTGTTGCTGCTATACATTATGGGTGGTGGGTACTTGTGGATCAATTTCCATCATGAAATGTCTTCAACTAGTTGAGTCTACGTTGATAATGATTACTCTATCTCGTGCACCTGCAAAATAAATAACAAGATAAATTTAGTTAATAAATATAAGTTTTAGTTTTGTTCTCTTGAATACTAACACAATCTTATTTTTTAAGTATATGATTAGATTTTGGTGTTCGATTTCCACGTCTGATAAGGGAAAGTGAACCTAATAAATAAATTTTAGTATTTTGTGCAATCAGTGTTAAATTTTTGGTTGAAAAAGGGGGGGAGGGTATTTGTGTTGACCTTAAGGTATTGAGCATTAAGGAATTATCATGGTTGATGTTTTCCTGGACGTGTTTCCAGTATTTGCATAACTTGACTGTTGACTAAATAGGGACTTTGTTAAATTGAAAGCAAAGAAGATTAGATGTAATTTGAGTTATTGATTAAGAAATGGAGATGATGATTAGGGAGAAGTGACTCCGAGGGATTCTAGAAATAGCGGTGGGGGAAAAGATATATCCGGCCTCATTAGAAGGAATATAAAATGCATAAATTTAGAATATTAGATCAGAAAATGCGTTGTAACAAATTAAAAAATTAGGTCGAGTTTCACTCCACTACCTTATCAATTATCGCCGGTTGAGAATATGAGAATTAAATATGTTTGATTTGGTCATGAAGACCCAGCTTAGCATCTCGAAAATAATTTTGTAACACTTTGATGGGAGGAGTCACTAGTGGAAAAATAGCTTTCTATGACGGGTTTTTATCACGGTCGTAATCCACCCGTCATAGTATGTGGCGCGGTGGCAATTTTGTAATAAAATCATAAACTTTCTATGTCGGGTAAGTTTTAATCGACATAGTAAGTGGAAAGGTCACTTTCTATGTCGGGTAAAATTTAACCGACATAGTCGGGTAAAATTTAACCGACATAGAAAGTTAACTTTCTATGTCGGGTAACATTTAACCGACATAGAAAGTTAACTTTCTATGTCGGGTAACATTTACCCGACGTAGAAAGTGAACTTTCTATGTCGGGTAAATTTTAACCGACGTAGAAAGTGTCTTTGATGATGGGTGTTAGGGCAACCGACATAGTATCTTCTGTTTTACCCTCCTCCCGCGCTCCATTTCATTTCATCACTTCCCCCCCCCATAGCAGAGCTCCCCTGTACGTTTCTCCCTACGCTCCATTTCCTTTCATCAGTTCACCCATACCAGAGCTCCCCCGTTCGCTTGTATACGTTTCTCCGCACCCACATTTGCTCGTCACGCCACCTGCCAACGCTTCGTGCCGCCTGCTGCTACTGGTGCCCGTCGCCTGGGATACGTTTCTCCCCACCCAGCTCTGCACGTCACGCCATTTGCCACCTCTGTAGGTCTTCAAGAGGTAAGTTTTCGTGCTTGCTTTAGCCAATGTAGGTTTACAGTATTGAATCTAGTAAGTAATAATGCTGTCAAGAGAGGGAAACATCACGGGTACCTTTAGCTAATTTAGAGATGTATTGTAAGTAGTTTAGTCATTTGAATGTGTTTCTGTAGGCATTGTCGCCGCCGTCCCTTTCGACGTCCGGGGGACGTCTCGAACGTTTATGCGAGCGGTCGCGAAAAGATGGTTTAGACTCGCGTATTTGTTTAAAAAATTGTTCATTGCTTCAACATTGAGAAAGCAAGGTTTTCGAAAAGGGGTTCTTATGGAGTCGCCACCAATATTTTGACCATAAACATTGGAAAAGGATGAAAAGACATTGATTTTAATAAAAACCAGACTTGGCCATTATAACCAGAGTTAGGTAAGGGAGTTAGTTACGTGTGGGGAAGGTGTTAGCACCCCACAACGCCCCTTTCGGGTTCCCTATGACAGATTAATTCATTTAAGTAAAGACTACGAGAAATTACGCGATTACCCTATTTTATTACATAATATTAAATGGCTATCTACATGATTTTATTCTATATTGCATGCATAAAATGATGAATAAAGCTAAATAAAGCAATAAAAGAGGTATTAGAATAGCTATCTACATGATTTTATTCTACATGACATAAACAATAAGGCTAAATAAAACAATAAAGCAATAAAAGAGAAGAGAATTGAAAAGAACCTCCGTAGCAAGCTTTGTATTGAGAATCTCCAACTGTGAGGATGCGTTTTGGTAACCCCTCTCTCTACACAGACTCTCCTCACCAATACAAGATCGACTCCACTAAAAATTTAAAGAAGAATCAAATGCCGAAATATAATTCCTTAACCGATTGTTACCTATTTAAGGCAATCGGAAAGATCATTCGAGAAAGGGAGAGAAATAGACAAGTGCTCTGAGTTTTAGAAAGTGTTTCAGAGCTCTCTGGGATGTCTGTGGTTTGAAAAAGTGGCAAATGAACCTCCTATTTATAGTTTTCGCAGCTGGCGCACTTTGGGACCACCGTCTGGAGTGGGACGGCCGTCTGGACTGGGACAGCCGTCCCAAATGGCATTTTTACACAGGCTGGGACCCCCTGGGAACCCGGGACGGCCGTCCCACTTAAACTGGGACTTGGGACGGCCGTCCCAACTTCGGGACGCGCGTCCCAACTGGTTGGGGCAGGTTGGGACGACCGTCTCGACTTGTTCTGGCCAGTTTCGCGTTTCGGGACTCCGGGAAGCTTTCCTTTCCTGTTTTGGACGTCAGTTGATGCCGATATGTGTCTGTTGAAGCTTTATCTTCATGTAGGAAGTCTTCTTGGCTTTTATTGAGATGCCGGCCGCGCCTTTCCTTCGTTTGTAGGAGGTCGTTTTAGTCTCTGACGTGCAGACGAGCAACTTCTGTGTTTGTTGCGGGAGGTTTCCTCGGTTTTTGGGAAGCTGGATGAACTCCATCTTCGGGCGAAGTTCCTCTAGCTTTTATTTTGAGAGGCCGGGCAAAATTAGGGGTCTACAGCTGCCCCCCCTTCACCTGCCTAACTAATTCATTGGTTTTAATATGCCGACAAAATTAGTTGGTAGGGGAAGGAGTTAACCCTTTTGCCCGGCTATCCTTCGGATGCTGCTCCTTGTGAACTTCCAGGATGCTCCTTCGATGCGGTAGCTGATCCTGTGGTTGATGAGTATGAATTTCGTAGCTTTGGGATGCTCCTTCGATGCGGTAGCTGACCCCGTAGCTGACGAGTGTGAATCCTTAGGATACTCCTTCGGTGAGGTAGTCGATCCTTCTGTCTGCAGGATGCTCTTTTGGAGAAGTAGCCGATCC